TGTTGATAGCTGGTTATCCGAGTTAACAACATATACTTTTGATTGCGGGAAATATCTCATCTCTAAAAAAATACAAAAACTAATTAGAATAAAACCACGCTGAAACTATAAACATTTTAGCAAGGTAACTTACAAAATAGATAAAAAATAAAAATAAATAGCTATTATTGAAAAAAACTTTATTAATAGCGATATTTTATAAATAAAAATAATTCACTGTGATGACTTTCTATGATTTTATTAGGTACTACTGCTGCTACTAGCAGTACCTGTGATTCCACTTTTTAAAAATCAATTTCAATTTATTTTAAAAATCAGGGAGCCAGTTCAAAATGTTGGGTATTTTTTTTATTTCAATAATTTTGTTTTTTTTTTATAAGCTACATAGTCTACCACCATGCTAAGAAAAACTAAACAATTTTTTTTCGCTCCACCCTATTATAAAATCGGGCATAATAACAAATATAAACAAACCGTAGATTTATAGACATACTACATAGTTTTTTTTTTAAATAATACGAAATTAAATATGAGATTAAAGGAGGAACATTTGTGGCATTGCCAATTACCGCCATTTTATTGCAATCTTGCGGTGCGCAATGAAACTGGTTTATATTAACATGTAAAACCTAAGAATTTGGTTTTCGGTCGTCTGACCGCAGATGACGCCGCGGGCAATGCTAGTTCTATCATAAGTAGGTCGTATTGCATTGTATGTATTGCGCAGATACAAAAGGTATAAATACATGCTTATTGTTTAGTAATGTATCGTACAATATCTATCTATTTATGCTATATAAAAGCTGTTACGAAGAAAACTGTTCAACAATAACAAGTTACGAAGCTCAGTTGCAATTCTTGGATTCTTATTGTACATCTACATAAGGTAACAAAATATTTAGGTATTGAATAGGAATCTCTTTATATCGTTGATATTTAACATTTTTTAGGCAGTTGCTATTTTCCCGATAGATATGTAGATAATTAAGAAATACCTATATTAATCGTCCGACTATTGTCGGTTTGTACTAATATCTACCACATGTTTGTTTTCTAATATAAACTAACTGAATTTTAGGTGCAGGGGTTTCTATATGCAAACAAAAAACCCTTAAACTACTGAGCTGGAAACATATTCTTTTAGATTCCAGCGATTTTTAAGTTCAAGAGTTTTTATATGTAATAAAACGAAAAGCGCCATAATCTACGCAGCTAAAAATGGATGGCAACATAATAATTAAGAAATAGTCATTTTCCTTCTGTATTTTTCAATTATACTGTACTATTTTGTATTTGGTTATTTTGTATTAGGATTATTTTAATAAATCAGTTAATTTTTTTATTGCTAATGCCATCTATAAAGATCTATAAGTACGAGTACAATAAAAAAGTTTAGTCCGGAGCTGTCAGTGAAATATAAAATCACGACAATGGTTCTTTGGCAAAGGCGTGTCTCGGTTTCTTAATATTTATGAACTCTTGCCAAAGATGTTTTTAAAATATTGTTTTGTATGTTATTGTAATGTTTTTAATTTTTTATACTAATTACAAATAAAAGTAATATTGTTTTTTTGTTTGTTTGAACCCTCCAATATCTGGAATTATCACTCCGACTAGGGTTTTTTTAGCTTTTTATGCCGTATTTCTCCAGATTTTTATATGCTAGTAGCTAGCTAATATTAAACTACGAACCCTGTAGCAAAGAAATTGTACCTAAATAAATTACAGGAGCAGAAACGCATGTTAAAGGTAATAATAAATAACGTGGATTTTGGATAAAGTTATAATTATGTAATATATAATTATGATACAATTACACATGTATTGTGATTGTATTTTTTTAGATTTAGCGAATACATCCCATTTATGTAAAACTACTTTTCAAGTCTTTATTTAAAAAAAAACACAATCGCGAAGAAAATTTTTTTTTTATGAGAATTCCCGCTTTAAACATTGTCGATATTTTTGGCTTTAACTCTTTCATCTTAATCTTCCAAGCCGATATAAAAAAAAAAACTTTCTGATTCGTTGTACTATACAACGACAGAATTTAATGCTTTATTTCATTGGTTCCTTGACGAAGAGACTGATCGCTAAGAATTTCTTGGGCATACTTGCAAAAGGATTTGGAGAAGACATTTTTTGGCAAGGCTCTTAAGAAGACACTAGCAAAAGGGCTCTAGCTACTATAGGCATTCCTCGATAGCTTTTATTGAACCATCGATGTTAATTATGGCCAAAGATGTAATGGTTTGTCACTCTTTTTGTGTGATGCAACGACATTGGCATTGATAGGTACCTCTACGTAAATCCCGGAAACAGTTTGCAAAGATCACGAGGAATATATAATCAGTATAGAATACATAAGGCGAAGTTCATTTTATAAATCATAAACAAACCAACCTACTTTGTTATTTATAATATTATCCTTGATGCTATGGCTTATTGCTACCTAGTTGTTTTGAATTCTACGAGGTAAACGTTATACAGAGTGCTGTGAAAGTTCAGCCTACTCTCTAGTGCAACAGTTTTACCTGAGTGCATAAGCACTACAGCTAAAACTCGACTTAACTGAGCTTTTAAAATTGTAAAGTAAACTTCGGCCCATATGATAATAGTTTTAGTAAAACTTTTAATAGAAGTAACGTAACGCCGTTCGTTAACTAAATAGTTTCGATGTCGTAACTTCCGGTAATATCGTAAGTATTATGTATGTATCCCTAGCTTATATAAATGAATGAAAAGCTGCAGTCTCTGTAGGAGTCTGAGTATTCTATTGGAGGTTCTGATCATATTGAATTCGGGTTAAGTTAAGGTTTTACCTGTATCAAATTAAAATTAATGGTGAAAGTGACAGCTCTCGGGTAACACAGACATTATCATATTTTAAACGTAACAATTCATATTAGCTGTGGTCAGTTTCTATTAATAAATTGAATAGCTCTATGGTAATATAAAATTACAGATGAAATTCAGAAAGATATTTCAGTGAAATGCTAAAAGCATCTTCTTATGTCATCCCATATAAATAAAAATTATGACGAGTAAAAAACGAAATGAATAAAAAACCATACTCACTAATATTATAAATGTGAAAGTGTGTTTGTTTAATCGTTTGTTTGTTTGTCTTCCTTTCATTTATAAATAAATACGTGTTTTAGCATTTTTTAAAATTCATCCCATAAGGGGGTAAAATAGAGGATGAAGTTTTGTATGACCCTAACCTACCTTTTTAGATATATTTTTGTAGTTTTAGCGCGAGCGAAGCCGCGGGTTCTGTTAGTATCCATACTAATATTATAAATGTGAAAGTGTGTTTGTTTGTTTGTTTGTTTGTCCTTCTTTCACGTCGAAACGGAGTGATGGATTGGCGTGAATTTTTGTGTGAAGATAGTTGGAGGGTTGGAGAGTGACACAGGCTACTTTTTACCGCGGTAGTTTACCTAATGGCCAGGGGAAAACACTTTATAATACAATTCAAAAAATATATTTATGATCAGAATTACTTAAAACGAATTATTAATGTTCTTCAATAAAATTGAATAACTACGTGTTTTAGCATTTTTCGAAATTCATTATATAGGTAAGAGGGTAAAATAGTGCATAAAAGTTTGTATGTAACTACTTTTATAGAGATATTTTCGTAGTTTTAGCGCGATCGAAACCGCGGGTACTGCTAGTTATTTATAATTTATATCTTACTTTCTTAGATTTACGCGAATTTTTGACATTTTAAATAAAACCATCATGGTCACGGGTAAGTCTCTCCAGTGACCATGACTGCTGTAAAGCATTCGAAACGTCGGGAACCAAAAATCTAAATAAATCCGTGAAATTATCCGAAAAGATAATTTTATTTAAAATTTATATTTTTTTAACTTTCGTAACATAATTTTTATTGTTTAAACGTAAACAATGTTTCATATTTAAAAAATTGTAAGTAGTTATAAACGTTTAGTAAATAGCTATTTTTTAATAACTATTACTGTACATATATCACACTTTTTTATATGTTTCGCCCGATTTCTATGGCGATAGGAACGACCTATGAAATTCAGAGATAATGTAGCTTTCTAGTATATTATAAAAATAAAAAATCACGTTTTTCTATTAACTGTCTTGTTATGGATTGAGATTTTTTTAACAATTATTCTTAAGCGTGATTCAGGCATGATATTTATATGTAAAGATGTTCTATTTTCGTTACCGCTCGTCGATATTTTTATTTATGAACATTTTTCGCCAAGCGTCATTTTTTCTTTTATAAGTACAATAACGACCCTAGCTGGCTTTATTCAGACGGCACTATTATATAGATCTGTGTTCATTATTTGCTGGTTGGACATTTTGTATTTATTTTTTACATTTCAAATATTCGATATAATTCATGCTGTATATAAATACTAGTACCTGAGCTAGCGACCTTCACTCGGAGTTATTAGCCTAAAGTACAATTTTCTTTTTTTTTTTAAACTAAAAACTTGAATAAATATTAAAAAAAAACTAAAACTTTGTATGCGACCGAGATTCGAACCTGGACACCTGTGATTGCTGATCTTGCACCTTGGCTGCTTGACCACGATGCTTAGCCCGAGAGTGCAAATTACTGACAATATTTTTCGTGGAATAATGTAAAAGATATCTACATGAAAACTTGAAAACACGCGTTTTCCCAGACATAAGACTAATCTAGATCGATTAATCGCCCCCGAAACCCCCCGTGTATTAAATTTCATGAAAATTGTTGGAGCCGTTTCCGAGATTCAGATTATATATATACTATATACAGGAATTGCTCGTTTAAAGATATAAGATATAATAAAATGTCGATATGTGGTCACAATCGGAGCACAATTCAAAGTGTGTTCTATTAACGTTATCAATAGAATAAAGTCTACTTGTGTAAGGAGTCTTTTCTTTAAAAAAAAACGTAGTTTTGAGCTAACGAAATAAAGTAACTGAGGAACTCTGTTAAAAAGCACATATCTATACCAACTTACCATACATAGTTCCGACTTTAGATGCCAAGTGCCTGGCAATAGCACCGTCACAGAGAGAGTCGAAACAGGCGCTCAGGGCTCGTGCGCAGGCACTCGTACCAATCTATGCAAAATAAGTAGATTTTTTAATATTTTTTCTAAAACGGTAATGCTAATGAATAATTGAGTGAGACTTATTAGTGTTATAAATTCCAGAATATATTTTATTTGTTTTGTAATATCTCCAACTCAAACTACTTTTTACTAATTTAAAAAAGTATAATGAATATTTTTTAGTTAATTCATTTTAGAAATGTCAGACGAGCTCAAAAAGGCTCACTTCAGAAATATCTAAGTGGCTTAGCCTTTTTAAATAACAGAGGGAGTCGTTTGAAGATAAATCCGTCCAGGGTTGCTCGTTAAATAAACATATTTAAGTAATAAAAATGATTAATCACCAGAAGCTTCGTTGCTTTAAACATATATATTATAAGCATACCTCAAGCTAAGTTGCTAATTATTATTAGTTGGTGTGGTTTCATTAAAGTTTTTCTTCCTCGTTCTATTGCTTTGGAAATATAATGATACTACCTATATATATTATATTCACATTACCTCTTGTTATAAATTGTAATTATTGTCTTTATTTGGTAGTTGTTCTATATGCAATTTTCTTAGTATGCATGCGTGTGTGGATTGTATTTATTTTACTTGCTTATTTGATATTTAAATTCATACTTGTCACTTTATATTTATAAAAAAAGTAATATAAGTTTAAATATTATCATAAAATCTTACCAGATATTCAAGCACCATATTCCAGCCAATCACAAAAGCAATGAACTCGCCCACGGTGACGTACGAGTATGTGTAGGCAGATCCAGTCGTGTTAGGTACTCTAACTCCGAATTCAGCATAACAGGCCCCTAGGAAAATCAAAAAAATGTTAAATCATACTCCTGCTGCACATTAAATCAAAAGTAAGTACACGCAAAGAGGAAGAGAGTGATAGAGAGAGAGGGGGGATAGAGAGAGAGAGGGGGGAGAGAGAGATAGTGAGAGATATAGATAGAGAGGGATAAGTTATGCTAAATCGCGCATGTCTTGCTTCATATAATTTCTAGTTATTTCAATTATGTGATAACAGAACTGCTATAGAGAAGCAGCACTCCTAACGACGGTTTTTACACTCACCACGAGATCCCAGCATCTTAATTATAATATGTAATCTTTTTATTAATTTTTTTCTTATTATATTTACCTATAGCATATTTAAAGTATGTACACCATATAATTATTACTGCCGGTTTAAAGAACACTCAAATGGCAGGGCAGTAGTCAATTTTGCGAAACAATACAACCCACACTGTATACGCGCTGTTATAATAGCACCATTCGGATCGTAGATGTTTGACGAGCCTAGTTTCAGAGCAGCGTAGTGCTAATGCGAGTACTTTATAGGGCATTAATACGGCTATTTGATATAGTTATGTAGAATCTATATTTACATATATAAAGAAAGAAAGTGACTGACTGACTGATTCACTGATTGATCAATTAAGTATATGGATAAAAATTTTTGAGCTTTTAGTAAATTAATATGTAGCAGTATATGTATATTACATATTATAATTACGTCTAGACAGACGCGAATACAGGATTTCGTCCAGTGGGCAATTTTTGTGTGATTTTATTTATCTTGCAGAAAATTAGTTCTAAACAAAAAACATATATATTTGATTAATTATGGAAACTGGATAACGATCCCTTACTTGTTTTTAGTGTGGAAAAAACACAAGCTAGGGGTGCTTGTGTTTGTGCAAAGTTATTTCAATAAAAGCTCTTAGTACTCCATACAAAATGCATAAGGTAAGTGAATATATGACTAAGCATACCTATAACTGCGGCAATTGTATCCATTGCCTTCCTCTATATCCGCGTCTGCGTCTAGAATTTTCATGTCACAAAAAATTACATGCGCCATTTCGCTATTAGTTTTAAAATGTATCAAACCGAGTATACAGCTGAATTATTCGGTGAATTTTCGCGCAAAAATCCGGTGGGTATGTGTTTATCATGTATGTACGAGTAGGTATGTATGAATGTATGTACTTATATCCGATCTTATGCTCTGTCGTAATGACTAAAAACCTCTTAACTGATTTTGATGATTCATATGACGTTTGATTCATTTTGATAATCCGAGAGTCGTAAGATAGAATAGAGAGGCAATTTGTTTAGTCGTGTAGGCTATCAAAATTAAGGCTTTTAGGAGGCTATTACTAAAACATACGTATATAACTGCATTTTACCCGCGTTAAATTTGTTTAGTTATAAACATCAGTAGCATGACGATACATAGCCTATAGCCTTCCTCAAATAAAATAAACGGGCTATATAATGCAAAAAGAATTTTTCAAATCGGATAGGTAAATAGTTCCTGAGATAAGCGCGATGAAAAACAAAAAAGAAACAAACAAACAAACTCTTAATAATATTAGTATAGATACGTTTAAAAATAATTTAGGATAACCATAAACCATAAACGTAAATAAAAGACAATAGCGTAATATGCTAAAATGAGCCAAACAAGTTAGGAGATATACATATGTGCATACGGCAACATACATACATCTTGCGACAAGGATGAAACGTGTATGTCTCCGACTGCATAATACTTTATTCCTTTCGTTTATTTGTTTTTATCTTTTTAGTTAGCTTTTATGCAGTCGGGTTTTTTTTTATTTTTATAATATATTTTTCTATTTAAATTTTATAGATATACTAGCGACTCACCCTCGCTTCGCTCAGATTCGTCACTAGGTTGATTCCCATACAAACTTTCAACGCCATTTTCACCCTCTTCAGGGATGATTTCCGGGATAAAAGTATCCTATATCCTTCCAGGGTCTCAGAATATCTTCTTACCAAATTTCATCTAAATCGGTTCAGTAGATCCAGAGATTACCCCCTACAACGTCACAAGCTCACAAAATCCGTAAACTTATTTGAAAAGCCTTCTCGTAGAACTATTTTGGGGAACAATTCATCCGTGTCGCGATTATGTAAAATTATAAACGATTATAAATGCTTGGACCTATTCAGAGACTCGCTGCCAAAGTTTCGCAGAGATGTAAAAAAAAATATTCTAAATAAATAATTAATCTTCTTGATTTGTTAAGTATATCTCGATTTATTTGGTAGATTTGTTTATTGGTAATTTATTTGTTCTATTTAATTTCTTTAGATCATAGAATTGTTGTTTTTGTATTTAAAAACTATTTCACGCCTATTTTTGTATGCGGTATTCACCTTAAAAGGTAATGCATTTAGCAATAAGTACTTTGTAACACACCATAATTATTTACTGTAATAATGTAATTACCATTGGTGAATCTAAATAATAAAAAAATACTTTACCTCCTTATAATATTAGTATAGATTATAAAATATAAATACCTATACATGTAATAAAATTGTAACTAAGCCGAATCTGTACATTAAACATTTTTTGGAAAATCTTATTGTATTAGACATTATTATCGATACAGAGGCCGAATCTATAGTTTTTAGAATTTTTGTCTGTCTGTCTGTCTGTCTGTCTGTCCGTCTGTCCGTCCGTCCGATTGTCTGTTACCGCATCACGAGAAAACCACTTTACAGATTTTGATGAAATTGGGTTTGATGATAGCTGGTTATCCGGGTCAACATATAGAATACTTTTTACCGCGGTAAAATATCTCATTTCTGAGAAAAAATACAAAAACTGCATTGTAAGAGTATACATTTTACATATTATGTAAAATCTAAGAATTTGGTTTTTGGTCATCTGAACGCGGGTGGAGCCGCGGGCAATGCTAGTCCTAAATATATTTAGTAACTCTTTATCGTTTGCTAAGCATATTCAACACTTTGAAATCAAATTTAATGTTTATGTGACTAAGTTATCGTGTGTTTCAAACATTTACAAAAATGAGAGCTTAAATTTCAAATTTTTTTTCTAATTTTAATGTCATATAGTGTAGATTTTGTATTATAACTGTATAGGTCTCGTGTTTTCATTATTTGTAAAACTATTTCTATTGACTAAATAAAAGTGGATATCTCTGGTGACACAGATTGAGAACTTAATGATTGTTTTCAATCGATAACAAACCGGACCGACCTAGTAGCCCATTGTCTTTATATAATTGGAAGGCGGAGATCATCGCTATATTATGTTACTAGGTTACTCGGCTTTAAATATATTTTCACTATGCACATACATATATGCAAAGTATGTAAATTGTTAATTAATTATTCTTTTAAAAGAGTTGAATTGGTTTACCTATCTATTCTTAATATAATAAAATTCTAACTAAGGCGAATCTATACATTGAATATTTTTTGAAAAATCTTATAGAAATAGATATTATTATCGATACAGATGCCGAATCTATAGTTTTTAGAATTTTTGTTGCTCTGTCTGTCTGTGACCACATTTCGAAAATACCACTGGATAGATTTTGATGAAATTTGGTATTATAATAGCTGGTTATACAGGTCATCATATAGGATACCTTTTACTGCGGGAAAATATCTCATCTCTGAGCTAAACGTTAAAACGTAACTAGGGATGAACCCGAGCGGAGCGATTCTAAATAAAAGCGTTTCTAAATAAAAGTATGAATCGTCTTTATATCATACGATGTACACTTAAAGTTACTGTACCTTTTTATAGATATTATATGTTTGAATAAATCTTTACTTTAAATAACTAACAGACCCCACGGCTTCGCTCGCGCTAAAATTACTAATATAGAATCTTTGGCTTTATACTATTAGTAATGTATGGAAGTCTGCCCGATTTCTTGACATTTATGTTTATTGCTCCGCTCCCTTGGGTAGTAGCATGATGATAATATATTATAGCCTATAGCCTCTCTCAATAAACGTACTATCTAATACAAAAAGAATTTTTTAATCGAATGAGTAGTTTCTGACATTAGCGCGTTCAAACAAACAAACTCTGCCTCTTTATAATATTAGGAAGTATAGATTTTGTTGAGGAGCGTAGTTTACATGACAAACAAAAATAATTGTTAGAAGAACTGATGTTCGATCTTTCCGCAAAGCTCACAATAAATCTGAACTATTAATATTTGTTTAATCCTAGTTATATGAAATGAGAAAAAAATGAATTAATACGTAAATCTTCGTCATTGAACAATGAAATCCACTTTCATTTGTTTACTAAAAATATAGAATAAGTTTTTATTTTTGTTAAGCCCAGATTCTCTTGAACGTCTTTAATAGAACAAACGTCATAAAACGTGTGGGGTAATCCATACTTCCATACTAATATTATAAATGTGAAAGTGTGTAAGTCATCAGTTCTATATATATAAGACGGAGGAGGATTTAGTTACCTTTTTCTGTTATGAAACCTTATCATTGTTTAAAGTCACTATGTTCTTTAATTTACTTTTTATTGCTTTTGAATTTAGAGCAGAGATTTAGTCTCGAGCGGGGTCGAGACGCCATCACGACATTCTTTGCAGATACGTGGTTTAGTAAAGACGGTTGATCATGGTGTAGCATATAGTTTTGCTTTGATATTGTAGTTGGAAGTCGATGATCGGTGACTGTGAACCCGCTAGCTCTAAATCATTAAAATTACCGTTTAAAGTTTATAACATTGTGACTTCCCTGATTAAATTGTGTATTGAGCACTGAATACTTTATTATTTGAGCCCTGATAACGCCCACAAGATGAGTAACCACCTAAGATGATGTTCGTAGTATATGGATAACACGACATATATATATTATTCTTGGTCACGCTATCACTCATGAACGGCTGGACCGATTTAAATATTTTTTTTGTTGTGTTTGTTATTTTCAGAAGGTTCTTATGAAAGAAAAAAATTAAAAAATTGCACGGAATATTATAAAATTTAAGAATACTTAACAACCATATTAAAATTTATATGGCTAAAGCTGGGTAATAACTATTTATATATATTTATAACGTACCTAGCGACGAACCCAAGCGAAGCGAGGGTGAGCCGCTAGTTATCTATAAAAAGGTAACAGTAACGTAACGCCTTGACTTCGCCCAGATGTACAATGACACTTGAATTCAGACAAATAATACCTTAAATTATTCGATTAATGAATATGTTACACATGTATCTAGGTTTCTTCGTAATCAGATTCAGAGTATAAGAAAGTAACTATACAAGCAAAAACTTAGACAAATAAGTGCATTCATTTATATTTACACTAGGTACATACTTACCCTCACTCCCTTGGGTGCATTGCTACATGCCTTACACTTATGTTTTATTACTCCAGATCATAAATTTTATGTCTTCTTCATTAAATTCATCCAAATCCGTGTAGCCGTTATTGTGTGAAGGAGTAACAAACATAAACACACACACACACTCACACACACACACAAAATTCGCATTTATAATAGTAGTTTGACTAAATCGATTACTTAACATTTACAATATAATAACTAATATTACTCACCAGAAAAAATGCTCGCTAAAGCGGCTATAATAAAGCTGAGCGCTACGCCAGGCCCCGCGAACTTGCGAGCCACCATGCCCGCCACTAAGTACATGCCCGTCCCAACGCATGACCCGACCCCCAACGACGTCAGGTCTATTGTGGTGAGGCATCGCTGGGGGATGAAATATCTATATAGCAACATTGTTGTTAAAATTGTAATAACTTACGGTAGGTACTAATTCCTAAAAAAAAGCCGGAAAATTCTCAATAGTTATGATCTAATCTATTATTTGGTAATTATAAAGTTATTTTTGCTATCATTACGTAAATTTAATATTATCATTTAGTTAAAATCATCAAATTGACATAAAGTTTCAATATAGTAAAGTGAGAATGCTGTATAATTCTACAGCAAAGACGGTGACAAACTTAAGAGTAGTAATAACCTAACCTTTTTACTCGACTGTGGCTCACAGGAGAGTTATGTGTTTGACCTGTATGTACGTATTTATGTATGTATGTATATTCGACCCCATGTTCCCTTGTAATTACTAAACGGCTTAATCGATTTTAATGATTCATACGTCGTTAGATTCGTTTCAAAATCAAAATAGTGGACACTAGACGCCAATTTGTATCCCCGGAAAAAAACTTCGTCGGAATCCATCGAGTGGGGTATCAAAATACTTTTTTTAAGGGGCAATTACAAAAATATACACACTTATATGTTCAAAAATAATTGAGCATAAGAAATAGTTAAATAAAATTAACAATGTCTAACTGACCAAAACCAAAAAGCTGTAAATAAAAAAAAATTACAAAAATTAAAAATCCGACTACATAAAAAGTGAACTAAAAAGATGAGAAGAAGTTAACGAAGAAACATAGTATTATGGAGTCGAAGACATGTAGACAAATATGTACATGTTTTGTAGCTTTTAGTCTTGCTACGTGTATTATACCTATACATATTATGTATAATAGGTATGTCTCGGACTGCATAAAACTATGCTCATCTTTTTAGTTTGCTTTTTACGTAGTCGGATTTTTGTAATTAAATGGTATAGTTATTTTTACTTAACATACAATTTTATATTTATTCTAGATGTATTTTAACAAGAATAAATCCCAAACTTAACATTTACAAAGTATTCATGAACGAATAATATTCTTTGCTTAATAGTGTGTTATCATGCTGTAATTTTAATTTTCAAGATATTTTATTTATTTAGTTAGGTATGTGTAAATCCTAGAATTAAGTACATTTAATAAAGAAATAACATACACTATTCACATTGTCGTTAGTAGTTTGTTATTTCAATAAAGAAAACTAATTATGGTTCATTAGCAAATAGCGCAATGTCACAAACATTATTCCCGTAAAAAGGTAAATGGTTTAGGTTGTCTAAAAATAAAAATAATCCCAAAAGAAATCCCTCGAACACCCACTCGCAGGGAAAATTCAGAAGAAATTATATCATTTATAGCTACATTTTGCTTTGAATAAGAAATAAGATGTTTATAAATACGTTAATGATTATATTTTGATTACATAATTTCATGATATACCTACACAATCAAACCTTAGCTGCAGTCAGGCTGTATTGAGTTAAATATATTAAATGAGGCTGAAAGGAATGATTATTCTGTGATAATGTAGTAGTAATAACTATTTATATTTTATGTATATTATTATAGTATAATAACTACCTATTTATTTTACATATATTTTTCGTTTTTAATTCTGTAATGCCTGTTCTCAAAATTCTTAATGGTAAGATAATGATAATCAAAGATTGTTCAAAAGTTAAGCTATTTGCATATTTGTAAGAATACAATAACTTTATTCTGGTCCTTGAGTTTTAATTAAAATTAGTTAATACAAGGTTTTGTTATCCATTTAAATATCTATTCCATGTAAGTAAGGCGAATGAAAATGTCAATTTTTAATGTTCTAATAATTTATTTACTTTCACTATTCCTCAATTACTTTCATCCTATTGTGTAAGAAATTAAATTTATTTTCATATGAAATACTAAACATTAAACTTGGTATACGAGATAACGAGATACAGTCAGAGAAGTTACTGATACGATTAAGCGTTCCAATTAACGAGGAAATTTTGTATTCCGTTTTCCATCACATCTGCAGGTTGCGCGGGTCGTCAACGTGTTTGCTTTTAATTTTTTTATTTTTTTATTTAATAGCTACTTTGATTAAAATGTCTATTAGATTATCATAATTTATTCCGATTTAAAATAGATTATAATTTTTATAGTGGTATGTATGCCTTTGTTTATTTAGATTTTAGATTATATTTATGTAAAATCTATATTTGTAATTTACTAGTGACTTACCCTCGCTTCACTCGGGTGCTTCTCTAGGTGCATGCACATAGCTTTGGTACATTTTAATAGGAAGATTTTTTTAAGAAGAATAGTTCTGTAATAGGTATATTGTTTTCATATAACTTTATTAGTTTACGCGGCGAACACCAATAACGCTCCCAGTCAGCATGATTTTTACCGACATCCTCAACAATTATCGTCCTATTTCAACCAATTTACACAAGACCATAATTATATAATATTTATACACATAAACCTTTCTTATAAAAAAACTTCATCTATTAGTGAAAACCATATGAAAATCCGTTCTGTAGTTTTTGAGTTTATCGCGTTCAGACAGACAGACGCGGTGGGTATTTTATTGTATAATGTGTAGTGATATTTTCAAACACTTGTAGAAGCGGTGAACTAAAAAGTACAAAAGCAATTATAATATCAACATATTTTTATCATTTTTTTAACAGTATTAATCTATCATGGCCTCATACTCCCACTCATTATACTTTTCATAGCAAAAGTTTGCAGTATAATAATACCTCACGAAAATTCTTTAATATAACGATATTAAAAATAGACTTTGTCTCGCTTTAGATTTGGGTTATCTTTGTATAAAGAAACATCGGTTTGTTTCGCCGTTGTTATGGGAACGAACTAAAAACTCAAAACAAATCTATAAGTACATGTAATAAAATTATAACTAATATAAGCCGAATCTGTACATTAGATATTTTTTGGAAAATCTTATTGAAATAAACATTATTATCGATACAGAGGCCGAATCTATAGTTTTTAGAATTTTTGTCTGTCTGTTACCGCATCACGGAAAAACCACTGGAGGGATTTTGATGAAATTTGGTATGGTGATAGCTGGTTATCCGGGTCAACATAAAGGATACTTTTTACCGCGGAAAAATATCTCATTTCTGGGAAAAAATACAAAACCTGCATTGTAAGAGTACACTAATATGTAAAACCTAAGAATTTGCTTTTCGGTCATCTGAACGCGGACGGAGCCGCGGGCAATGCTAGTGTACCATATATAATTATGAGGTATTACATATACAGTGTTTTTATTTATGTAACATTCGTTTTTAGCATGCGTTTGTTTGAGATACCTGAAACTCTGTGAAATATAGTTGTTACCACTATTTTGAATAGTTACGTGTGCACACGTATAAACTTTTGAGAGGAATTTTATGAGTTAAAGCTTTTTTTGTATTTCCTCTGTAAACTATGAGTTGTTTTTTTTTAAATAGGATAAGTACTAGTTTTGATGACTAAATAGATAAGATAGTACGAATGTTCACTTTTATTACATTTTTGTGGTTTTTACATGACACGCGAACAACCGAGGAAAGCGGAAAGAGGTGCCAATGAGGCATTAGGAAAGCTGGATTAAGTAACTAGTCAAGACTATATATCACTAGTTTATAAACTTTACCCTAATTCAGCTAGAATACAACATAATATGCAAATTAATGTACAAAATAGAATAAAATTTCTCTTAGATTGATTTCTCAGAAAAACTGAGTAATTGAAATTAGTTTTTTTTTCATTTTTCTGTTTCACATGCAAACAGACAGACAGACAAAAATTCTAAAAACTATAGATTCGGCCTCTGTATCGATAATAATATATAATAAAATTTTCCAAAAAATATTTTATATAGGTACAGATTCGGCTTTGTTACAATATTATTATAGGTACGTATAGAATATCCAAATATTCACTTAGATAAATTTTTTTTAGTGATAACGTAGAATATTTTACAACATTAATATTTAAAGTTGATTAAATAATACACTTTAAATAGACGGCAGTAAATAATTGGGTCAGATATTATTTTCAATGGGTGTGTAATAAGAAAACGGATGGTGGTGCCAGAGGAAAAGTAAAGGACTCTTATGCTCTGACAGGTTATTAGTCCAGATGTTTTAGTATAAGAATGCGTCAATATATATTTATTTAAAGATATGTAGATGTGCACATTTTTCTTAACTTTATTTTAGTTATAAAGTTTTAAATCTAGTAAAATAAATATAATATTTTCGCACACTTTCATCCTTCGTAGAAGTTTCTCAGCTACTTGTTTTAAAATTTTAAAGAAACGTCACAGAAAAAATTTCGTCTCATTTAAAGTAACTTTCAAGATCGCTCTAAACTTTTATTATCAGAGATCCTTAGGTTAATTATTCTGATATGCACATTAACATTGCTATTAGTTTCATTTTTTTAACATCTATTACAAAATATTCAAATCTATTTACAAAATATTAAATTAGCAAATTTTCTTAGTAAACTTAATAATATTTACATAAATAGTATCATTCATTATAATAGTGACTCGCTTTCTAACAAAACTTTAGTTTAACTCATATACTTTAGTTACCGAAACAAAATATTCCCTATGTTCGGCTTATAGACTACAATTTTGTTAAAATCACATAGACCCATTGCTTTGCTGCGACAAACCAACTAAGAAACGAACCCAAACCCGATGCAAGATTTCGTTATGTGTAAATTCACTGGAAACACCATGACCAATAAAAAAACGTTTGGAGGAATTATGTCACAACTTCATTGCCCTTACAATCTTCGGGTACAAAGTCTTATATTATGTTAACACTCCTTTTCAAGTATTATGTATACATATGCAGTTCAATATAACAATGCGCCTTGTTTTTCTGAAATTATTAAAATCTAATTTTCTCATGTTACCTTCCTCTTAAAATGTTATTGCTAAGAAAGGAAACATGTTTGCAGATTTTTAAAAATGTAGGGATATAAAAGATACAAATTAAGCTTCCTTTACGTTCTAGGAAG